GTAATGGAAAAAAACCCATTTGATTTGCATAATTTTTTTTCATACAAAACTAACAAAACCTATGTAATCTGAATTATTAATATTTTTTTTTTCGACATAAGAATAATACATTTTTTTCATTGTCTATAGGCAATATTCATTAAATAATATTATAAGTATGGCACGTTACAGCTGCTTGTTATAAGTGTGTAATATTTGAATGTGATATTCTACTTACTCGTTGCTTGTTGCGTGGTTACAACTTAACTATTATAATATTATGTACTAATAATGTACCTATGCATAATACATTTATTCTAATAAATGATGTTACTATTATTTGGTATGGTTGGCAATTAACTAATGAGTGCATTTTGTAAAATTAAAATGATTATTCAATCATAAATAAAAAATAGTGTGTACGATAAGTTTGTTCGGATTCATCATTGTATTCAAATTAATATTTTTTAAATATAGTTAAAAATCATATAATATATTAATGTATAAGAAAACCACGTATATTACAATAATATTTTGCAAATAATAGCTTTCGAACAAAAATGTAAATGCAAGTTATATTTTTCTTACAAATCGGGGTGGGTCAATTAATAAATCCAATTCATGTAAATATTTTAGCTAATTAATTTTCTACAAGTATACATATTAAGTAAATATATGATGAGACATTATATCATTATATTAATGTATTTAGATTGTATGTGTCTTTGAGTATTATAATGTGATACTTTTGAAGAATGTGAATTATATAAGTTTATTATTGGATTAAAAATTATAATATGTAACCTTATGGAGAAACATAGAAAAACAATATTAAAAAAATAAATGAATGCTTTAAATGCACTTAGTGAAACCAGGATCACTATTTGATGCGAATATGACAGAGTTTATTGGCAGGATATTAAAGTTTTCTAACCCTAATTTTGATTGACACTTTTTCAACGTCTGGAAAAATATTGGCTTTTAAACTTTATTTCTTTTAGTGTCGATCAAACAACAAGAAACAGTTTGTTGCGCTCTATGTAAATTGTTAAGTTTTATGTATACTACACTTTTACAAGAAACTGAATTGGCGATAATAAGTGATACTTGCCTGGCTTAAAGAAAGTTATACTATAATATAACAAAATATGACATAATATTTAAATTATAAATATTATTTGATATTTTGAGCATAGATCACCTTTAAAAAAGCAAATTTACATTTTATGATAATTTGGTTAAAATTAGTTCCTAATTAATTTTGATAAATATAATAAGATACCTAAAATATTGTTCCAAATAATTAATTTCTTATCATTAAAAGATCGATATAATTATGCAACAATTAGTATTCAAATTAAAATCAAATAAGTTATATAATGAATAGTTTTTACAATATCTTGAGTATAATAGGTACCTTTTTTTAATTTTTAATATATTACTTATGATAAAATTTTCTTTTTTTTCTTATTTTTATTTTGGATACGGCTTAAATAATTTATAGATTTAAAGTGATTTTTTTTTTTTTTTTTTACTTAATATTTTACAAGTATTTCACTCAAGTATGTTGCTAAAAATAAAGTGATATTTGTTTTTATTTATTTTATATTATATTGCTTTGAATTATAAAATTCTGAGAGTTTTTTTATGTTCTTCAGCTTATTTTTGAATAAATAAAGTGCTCCCAAATGTCCATAAAATCGCCAGATTGCGTTATCTTATGATGTACTCGTATTACGAATAGCCTCAAAATGTATAAACAAATAATTTACATAATTATTTTGTTCAAAGAAAGTACTAGGATTCACATGGATAGTTCAAAGTATAATACATCTATACATCTACCATAGTACTATAATATACAGTATTCAAAGGTTTTAAACTTGAATTATAAAACTGTCAATCACAGAGAAAACTTTGCAACCCACCTTTAGGTACTTATTGCGATCATCTTTATATCCATATATTTAAATTTTATATAATAATATATACATGCATGAAATTTTGAATATCTGATGCCCTGATATGTACTGAAAAATTATTAATTTACATTTTTATTTACAATCTATATTAAATATTAAATAATATAATAAATAAATCGTATCAGAAAAAAATGACATGAGATTCATGTGATAAGGGAAAATATCCATTGATAAATTTTTAATCCATACATATATAATATATAAATATAATAATATTATAGTAAGTTATCTAGATATCTGTGAGTTCAAGTACATATAGTATTTTTCATAAAGATTTGAAAAAAATATGTTATTAGTCATTTTTAAGAATTTACTTGTTGATAACTGTAGTTAAAAGAGAGGATTTAGCTCGGTTAGGAAGAAAAATAACTTTTGTGATTTTTTCATTGTCAATATTGATGAAGAATCACTTATTTTTAGTAACCTATGTAAATAATTTATTCGAATGGTTTATGGTAGTTCAATTCGGATTTAGAATAGCGACCGTGTTAGGTTAAGTTAAGTGACATTGGATTATTAAATTATATTATTTCTGGATTATTTTATATTCAGAGTATCCAATTAAGTTAATCGTATGCTCTTCCATGCAGATGGTGTAAATATGTGGTTAGATTGAGGATTTATTGCAATTTTTCTTAAATGATAGTTACTAAATTTGACATATTTGAGTAGACGGTTTTTGCTTAACTATAATGTTGACATCTTATAGGCATTGGACTACTAATTTTCTCCGGATTAAAGATTCTTCAATTTTTATTTTTGTTTACAAAAAATAATCAATAAATAAATTTAATATATATTTTGAACCTTTGTAATTATTTAAAAACTATAAAACAAAAATCTTTGTAATGGTTTTATGAGCAAGTTTTTCATTTTATAATAAATTAGTATAAATATGTATAACATAAAACTTAAAATAATAATTTCTATTAATTTACGAGAATTTCTATTCAGTCAATCTTCGTATTACAAATCGTTACATAATGCAGTGTACTGTATAACTTTGAATAATACGAAAATTTCATATTGAAATAATTGGCTCATTATATGGGGTACAAGTCTGAGGGCTTGCAATCAATTCTCAAGAGCTTAATATTCTTTTAGTCAGGTTTATGTTAATTATACTATACGATATATCTACACACATATATATATTTAAATAATTTAATAATATTTTACTGTAAATATAGACTATGTAATATTAAACTACTAAAAAATTATATTGTAATAAAATATTATACAGTAGTTAATAAAATTTAATTTGATTTTAATCGATAAAATTAATTTTATATTGGTCTTTTATAACTATAATGCATAATATTTTTATTGTCAATAAATTAATTGTCCATAATATTAAAAAATACGATTTTATTAAAAACAACGTGGGTTTTTTTTTTTTTTTTTTTGTAGTTAAGAAAATATTGGAAGTTTACGGTTTATTTTATAAATTTATATTAATAATAACAACTATTGTTTACTATTCAGTATAATATCAACAAAAAAGTTTAAAACGTAATTTTTTAATATAACAATAATATTGGAATTAGAAAATTAAATTCTAAAATATATTTTACTTAAGAATTTTTTGATTCACTGGAGATATTATTTTTTATCTTATCTTATTTATGATTCTTATTTTTTACAATTGCAGATAGTTTATATAAATTAAATTTTTTGTTATATTGCTATATTGCTTTGCTGCGATTTATACTGATCTGTGTTCTAATATACTGCTCAATATTTTCTAGTAATTTCTCTATTTTCCTGTTATACAATGATTTCCCTTTTGAATTTCGTGTATTTTCATGTTTTTAAAAATATCATTGCAAGTTTTTATATAATAAAGACCAATAACAAAATGTCATTATTGACTTTATTATTTATAGTAACCTAATAAATAGTTAAAATGTTTTTGAAAAATATATACCATAAACGTTTATAATACAATTTATAATACATGTTTAGTGTTTATTATTTACTGAATATAATTAATAAAAATATGTTTATTGTTTATTCAAAAATAAAGTTTTTAGTAGAGTTCATATTTATCATAATTTATCTGGAATTTAACTGTGAATTTTGAAAAATAATTTATTAAGAGTGCCAGATGTGTGTCTAATTTATCTTTTATTGAGGTGAAATATGAAACTTTTGAAATAATCATCCTTATTTTGGTAAATATGAATTTACAAACAAACTAAAAAAAGTCATAATTTTAAGATCATATTATAATATTTAACCTCTTTCCAACCACTAACTATAATATACTTTTCTTAATTATGTTTTATATTTGTATCGAATCAGTGTAAAATTAGATATGTTTTTACTATGAAGTATCAAACTTTTTTGTGAAAATAAATAACAATAATTTATATTCAAAATTGTACCAAATATTTTAAAATTGGATTAAATAGATCACTATTTATATAATTTTATTTTATTGTATTTAATATATTTTCATCGGTATTGATCATACGATTTAAATCATTGTCTAGTTAAGTACCTATTTACTTTCGTGAATAGATAAATATTATTCATACATAGTATTTTGATAAAATTAAATCCAATTTGAAACAGTTGATTTCACATTCATAATTGATAAATATCACTAAAATTTACAGCAAATGATTAACATGCTGATAATTCTTTGAATTTTCTTGTTTTTTAAAAATTAACAAAGATTTTGATGTGTACTAATGCATTAAACTGTAAGAAATAGATAGGAAAATATTTTCTATCGGAGACTATATATCTACTATTAAATTCTAAATTGTTAAATGCAAAATGTAAATAATAATTAATGTAATAGACTTTCTATTCTCAATAGACACAAACTTACCTTATAGAGAATAGCTACACACTTGTAAATGTAAGTTAAATTTAAATATTATTTAATTTTATAGATCTGGATTATGAAAAAAATAAAAATATATTATTGAAGTTAAAATATTGTTTATAAAAAAATAAAAATGATGTGAATAATAATTAAATTGTTTATATATTTTATATTTTATAATTTATTTATGTTTTTCTCAACAGGATGTTCCTACTCATGTGATAATGTTGACCTTTCTTTTAATGGCTATTGATCGTTATAAACATCTCAAACATCCAAATAAAATGAGACTCCCACCATTAGCGTGTACATTTGGATGTTGGATAGTGGCATTTTGTATTGTATTGCCATATCCCGTTTACACTGCTTATTTGGATTTAGGTGTAAGTGATATCACATTTAAATAGTTCTATAAAGGAAATTTTGTTAATTATCTATCGTATTTTATAGGAATATATAAAAGTACAATTTGAAGGCGTTGGCATTTGTGCAGTAAACATGGCCGATGATATGCAAGACTATCTTCGGAGTTTATTCGTTCTGACGTAAGTGTTTATTTAGTTTAGCTTTGAGAAAAACGTAATTAAATTTTTAAAATGATTAGAGATAATTTTATAAAAGTTCAGTGCTAAACGATTTTACCATTACTATATGGCACCACTTTTTATTATTTATTAAAAGTCCAATCATGTAATGTAATAGCAATGTAAAGAAGAGAGAATTATCACTAATATAAGATACTTATTTATTAATTTTTACGTTCAAGTAATTTCAATGGGAGTTTATTTCAGCGCGATTTTCATTGCGTGAAAAAGATCACAGGTTATAAGGCATTGGCCTACAGGGTAAAAGTTATTGGATATAGTAGGTATTAATTAATATAATATGTCGATGTGACGTATATTACGTAGGCACCTACGTATAAAGTCATATAATTCGTTAAACATTCATTCAACCGCATGCACATATTTGTCATTATTTGTCAATGGTTATTATACTCATTGTCACTGTAGTATATGTAATCCTTTAGAAACCTTGCTTTAATAATATAAGTTATTACAAAATAATTAATATGTCATGTTTAATAAATACAAAAGCATATTTATATTTATTTGTACAGTACACAAAATTTGTTAATTGGAGAACCTTGTTATTAATTATTATATTATTAAAAATAATAAATATTTTGACAATAAAATGCTCGGTGAAAAGTTATGTTTAATCAATCTGTAGGCTAAAAAGCGCATTCAATTAGAATTGTTCATAAAATAATTTTCATGCGTTAATAAATATTATTTTACATGAGTATTTCGTTGTAGGCGATTAAAATACATTTATAATACATAGATATCATACAATATTATGTTATATATAATTAATTATAATAATTAAAATGTTAAATATAAATATTTGACGTTTTTGTATGATAATGTAATAATTTACATACTTTATTTCTAAGCTAAATAACTTTATAAACAAATCTATTGGTGTTATAACTACATTATAATATAACATTAAAATTAAAACTTTTAATGCAAGTAAATGTTAGGTACTGAAAAATAAATATACAACTATATTGTAAATTATTATATATATATATTCACAAATACTTATAAATAATAAATGTTTTATTTATGTTATTTGATAGTTAATACGATGATTCATAATATTGCATTTTCGATTCTCATTTATTATATCTAGGTATAAGTAAAGAAAGACGTCGTATATTAACCCAAATTTACGAAATATTTATTATATTCATCCAGTTGAGTATAATATACTGGCAATAAATGTAATGCATACAATATTATGTTTGTAGAAATAACAGATATTGTTGGTTAACAAATGGTTTTGATTCATCATTTGACCCTATGTAAGGTTTAAAATAAGTGTTAGTTACGTAGTTGTTTTCAAGCAATCACTTGATGGTCACTTATATTTTATTGCCGATTCTTTAGGTATCGTTATTGGATTTACTTTACAGAATATTATTATGAAGATAAGCAAATAAAAAAAAAATTAGGTATGTAATTTAATATAAATCATTAATTTCAATTTGAACTAAAATAGTAAAATTGTTGATAGAAGAATAAAATAATAATGTAATAATAGTGTTTAGACGGTCAAGTTAAAATACTGTTGCTAAAATTTAATAAAATATACGAATATTATGATGTTTATTATTTATTATAAATCAAAGTTTGTCCAAGACGAGAAATTATTTCTTGATTAATATTTTTGAAGTTTAATTAAAAAAAAAAAAAGATTATTTTATCAAAGTGCTCTAACAAAGGTTTAGTTTATTCAATTTTGAAATAAAAATATTTTAATTTCTGTTTACGAATTACTTAAATAATAAAAGTAGTCAAATTTTAAGGACAAATTGAATATATTTATATTTAAAAGTTGAATAATTAATAATAAAAGTTTTAGATATTAGGTAGATTGGAGCTGGGAAAATAATAATGGATATGTACTAAAAAAAAAAAAAAATAAATATTAAAACTGTATAATATGTTATTATATGTCAAATAAAATTTTTAATAATTTTTGTAAAATAATTTAACACAAAAATACCATGATAGGGTGATAGAAATAAGTGAGTGCATTTTTACTAGAATCTGGTGAATTCAAAGTAACGTTGAATTGATAGAATTAGTTGTAATTCTCTAGCAGTCATAATCGTCAACGTGTTAAAAAAATACTTATTTTAATTATAAATCACTATACTGCTGTTTATTATAATTTCACTGTGTGTGAATGTAATTATGCAGCACATTAATATATATTTTATGAATAACTTTGTTTGGAAAGCTCTAAATATTTATTTTTTTTTTGGTAAAAAATAGTTATTTAAATTAATGTGATGAGTAGTCTTGTACATTATCCATAATATTAAATGATAAATGTTTTTTTTCTGGTATTTCATTTTTATACTCACTAATTTTTAATTTGTTTTAAACATAAATTACTATGATATACATTAAACACCATCAAATATGGTATTATGTAATACACCAGAAATTATGAACTAAAAGTATTTATTAGTATAACACAGGTAACTTGTGATGTTTTAGATTTTCTCTTTATACACCTACCTACTTATTTATATATAATATTGTATATTATGCACGTAGGATACTCGTATATATTTTATTTTACATAGATTGTTAAATAAACATTGTTTTATGTATATGTATATTTTAAAAGTTTATAACTTCCAAACAATGATAAAAGTTTACTTTATAATTTAATACAAAAAATACTTATATTTTATATTGAATGAGTTAATAAGTGTGAAAGTTTTCATTACAATTGTTATAATAGTTGAACATTGAATTATTGATTAATTAAAGCTCTTTTTTAGTGAATATAAAATTTAAGAATAAATAAATTAGACAGGTTATTTTAATTAATTTTATTAATTTTAATGCAGTATTATATAATATTATGCAATAAGATATAACATTTAGGAAACAAGTATACATATTATATACATAATATCATCACGTAGTTAAAAACTTTATTTAAACTAATTAATTTGTAACGTGAATTTATAAATTATTAGAAATTTAGCTATAAATATTCAACCAATTTATTATTTCATTTGAAATTTGAAATTTTATTTTTGTTTAGTTTAACAGCATACGTGATAGAAATTAAAAATTTTATTTTTTTCAAGAAAAAAAAAGATTTATTATTCACGATTTAACTATTGAAAATATTTTTAAAACACGAATACAAATATAATGAATATATTAATATACTTATAATCAGGTAAGGAGACACTTTTTTAAATCTGTTTTTGACAAAAGTTTTTTATCATAATTTTTCCAAAAAGTTCTTTTTATCAAAATTATATTTTCCAATACAAAACAGAAATTATTAATTTCTAATTTTAAAATGTTTATTTATAACAAAAAACAATTAGTATAAAAGTGTATTAAAATTTAAAATCATGATTAATGACTGTGATGAGGTATGCAATCAAATTATCAAAATCATTAAATTTACAATTAACTTGGAAAAAATATTATATATTTGCTTTTCTACTTTCATTTGTATTATATATTATGATTTCTTCCTTATTTTTTGTCCCACATTCAGTTGCTATAAAATGCACTCAGTGTTGTCTCGTTCTTCTTCGAGTTCGATGAAAAATGTATAGACATTAGGATGTTGTCGTCTAACAACCATTTAAAACCGATTATGCCAAACTTTTGAAAAATTATTAGTTCTTGCTATTCATTAGGTTACTGTATGGTACTGTTATAATGGTATAATAATTTTAGAGGGAGTATGGGTTTGGTTCCTTTCCTTTAACCTTTAGCTTGCCTCCCACGAATGTAATTTGTCTACGTTAAATAATTAAGGTATATTTATAGTTATTTACTTAAAGATATACATAACATTTTTTTTTATATATTTATTTAAAAAAAAAAAAATACTTTATTAAATAAAATATAAGTCGTTATTTTATTATATATCAATTTGTTTAAAAAATAATTTATCTCAAAATATTCTGTTATTGGCATTTATACGTCTGGTATTTATTCTAATAAAGCATCAAACATTTCTACTAATTGTATTTTTTTTGGTGAAACAAATGCTAAAGCACCAGTTATTTGAGTTGTAAGATTCAGTATAAATATTAAAATCGAAGAAGTTAAGTTGAGAATATTAGATTTGGAAAAAATCAAATTGTAAAAATTGATTGAGAAAAACGGATTGGAAAAACTCTACTACGATCGTATAATTGTATATGGATTATTCTACCGGATAGTCTTTCCCTGATATTTGCTTAATATGCTATATTAACACATGTAAATATAATTTTATTTAATTATGAAAAAAAATAGGTATAACTTTATTGCTATACAATATAGTAAATAACTTTTTCTAAAATCGTATTTAGATTAAATAAGTTAAATACATATGCATAGCGTATGATTATAAATGTATGTTTAATTCATCTTCAAAAAAAAATAAATATTTTTTTTTATTTCTTGAAATTTTAAATAAATCATTTTAAACTTTGTCTATGAAAAGAAAAAAAAAATTTTTTCTAATAAATTTAAAAATATTATTAAATCAATCTTATGGTCTAACCAGTTATATATATGATTTAGTTGTAATATTTTTTATATTGAAAGTAAATAGATTTAAAACTCTACAAGTTTAAGATAAAGCTAATTGAAAATATGAGATGTGTGATATTATGGTGTGCCATTGAAGTGAATCTTTATTTATATTTAAGCAATCATAATTGATTATTATTGTTTAGATATTAACAACAATTTATTCCATTGTACCATTGTTGACATCGTTTCATATATTATAATATTTAATGGTTAAATAGTTTATAACTATAAAATAATATAGGAGTAGAATAGTTTTCAATGTGACAATGAGTATAAAATAAAGCGTACAATGTGCCTATGTATATTATAATTAGAATAATAATTTTTTAAAAATAAATTTAAATAGGTTAGTTAATCAAAAAAAAAAAAAAAAAATAAATAAAAAAAATTATAACAAAATAATA